TTGCATGTATTGATTTGCAAATGTAGGTAATGACTTATAACAGCAGGGGGCTGGGGTGGGCTTTGTTTATTCGTGCGGGGGAGGGAGAGCTGCAAGAGAGTACTACAGTAGTCTGTGAGACCACAGATACACATGTGGACAATGCAGAAGAGATGCCATGGCAGTGCTGTGTACCCTGAGAATGCACAGTATATATTTTGTAATCAGTTTTTCTCAGTGTCTTTGGTGCATTTTTCACATAATTCTTCACATTTTTAACAACAGTTGTGCATTTCTCAGAACAATGAGTGCAAACTGCAAAACCTCATGGATAACCTGCTAAAAAGTCACTTTCTCAAAATGAACTTAATTCCTCAAAAGAAAGTCTTCATGTCAATGAAACTGTCTGTGTTCTCAAAAGAATAAGTCCTGACATCAGTGTTTATGAACAACAGTCAAATGATTTAGTCATGTTTTCATTGTGACTGTATTTAGTGATACATATGTATGTACTGTATGTTCACATATTTACTGCTTATGCTCTTTGCAATTCTACAGCATTCTGCAACAAAAATAGTACACATACAGTATTTACGTAGAAAAACAAAAATACAAAAAATCATTACGGTAGAACCTCCACAACATTGAGTTGTGTGTGACATCATCGCGGCAGTTTCTCCTTTGAACACTTTACAAATGCTTTTGGACATGTATCAGTTACTTTCATACAGTTCTCTGCTGTTTTATAACATTATCATTTGCTTCTGTCCTGTCAATCAGAATGAAACATACTTATCACGACTGAATAGTTTCTGTAAAACCAGTAGTCCTCATTTCATCGCTTTGGTCATCACATACAAAACTGTTCAAAACCAAAATCTGTCAAACTAATTTCATACATTACTTTATCTTTTTATATCCAGAAAATCTTTCCTAATTTCGAATTTCAGCTTCACTCATGACGAGGTGTGTGTTTTATTGTTTACATTTGTCACAGTTCTACCATAATGATATTCTGTATGTTTGCTCTATGTATGTGACTGTATTTCTGTTGCACAATGCTGTAGAATTGCAAAGAGCATATGCAGTAAATATGTGAAAGACATACAGTACACAGACATACATCGAAACACACATACATGCACAAACACACACACACAGTAAATACATACATGCACAAACACACACACACATACAGTACATACAGTATAAATGTTCTTTTACTCTCACTAAATACAGTTGTGTGTAACTTGACTGTAGTTTTCAGCTGTACAGTGCTCACCAAGATCAGATTTTTTGCTTTGAAAACACAGAGAGTAAAGTGTCACAATGAAAACGTGACGAAGTCATTTGACTGTGTTGTTCATACTCCATGTTGTTAAGACTTATTATTTTGAGAGACAGACAGTTTCCTCGACATGAAGACTTGCTTTTGAGGAATAAACTTTTCATTTTGAGAAGGTGATGCACTTTTGCAGGTTATCCCCAAGGTTTTGCAGTTTGTACTAATTGTTCTGAGAAATGCACTAACTGTCGTGCAAATGTGAAGAATTATGTGATAAATGCACCAAAGACACTGAGAAAAACTGTAAGTAGCATATTTATTTTGTAAACAATGTAAATTTATACATTGAATGATGTTGCTCGTTTGTTTTCTTTCAATTCACTTTAGTTAAAAAATAATAATGAAAATAATAAAGTCAGCATGACACTAGATTTAACTCATTTTAACTAATCAGATCCTCCCTCTCCCGAAGAAGACAAAGTAAAGTGGTTGAGCAACTTCAGCTCAGCCTGTGATAATGGCCTTATTTACATAACAAAGTTGGCCGTTCACAGGTGATTTAGTTTGTTAGCTAAAATCCTTGGAGTCATTTGGCACCGTGGTGGGCTTTTTAGGTAGAAGTGCCAAATGGCACCTCCATGGGTTTGCTAGTGTTAAACATTCAGCTGCAACTTCCAAGATTTCGCAGCAGGTTATTTTTAGAACACACAACCCCGCGATAAACAATAAAACTGCTCTCACGTGTTGTTTTTGAAAGTTTGAGTTACCGTCAATCCAACTGCACGTTTCGACTCCTCGTGGGGGACTTGGAAACTATACGCACGGTTGAAATCTCTTCATCAAAAGCGTAAAGAGAGACCTCTGCTAAATCACAAGAGTGTGTGGTGGTCTTCTGGGTCCTCTTATGCAACAGAGAAGCGCTGATTTGTGAAAACACGGACTGCTCTTTCACTGGTCGATGGAATTCTGCACATCTGTGAGTGGATCTGGACTTTTACAACAAAATATCAAAGCAGAAACCAGAGGGGAGGAAAGTTCATGGTATTATAAAGTGTGTGTGTGTGTGTGTGTGTGTGTGTGTGTGTGTGTGTATTGACAGCCATGAAACGAAAGCTCCTCTAAAAGAATCTATGGTTTAGCGCCCTCTGTGTTTCAAATTTATATTGTGTAATTTTGCTAATTCAAATATGAGCCGTTTAAGGATTGACCAATCAGATGCCTTTATTTATTATTAGCAACACATAGCAATCACATAAGAACTCAGTTAATTTGACGGCGTTTAGTTTTGGAAGTGGAATGACTCGTGCACATTTTTGATCGTCCTGAAGTTGTGACTTTTTCTGTTTCTTTGTTGACATCCACGTGCGCCCCTTGCTGGGTGGCAAAAAGACAGAGCGGCACATACCGAAGCATAGATGTGACGAGTACTTTTAGACTCAGTGGGCGAATAGTACTGTATATAAGCACTTTAACGCAAGAAAATCAGAGGAGATATAAAGACAAGCTAAAAATAAGTATATAAGACTGAACTGAACAAATCCAAAGCCCATATGAGACCTGGGATGACGAGAAAAAACATTGGTCAGACACACCTCTGTCTTGGCACTGATCTGCTGGGAGACGTTACTTCATAGACAACCCAGGACCCGTGTTGAAAGGGTCCGTGTTGAAAAACCATCTCTCGTATTTTTCATCGCGGTAAAGTGGCCCGGCTTTTCACAGTCGCGGTAAAGTGGTCCGCCCCTTTATGCTGTTACTTACGGTAAACGTGGAAAAGGAAGCCGCAGGGATGAGCAACCAAAATGCAATGTTTCAAATTCATCCTCACTTTGAAATGTGGAGTAAAAGTAGTTGCAAAACGTAAAATGTTTTATGAATTTTTATCCCCCCGGCTTCCCTTTCTATGTTTACCGTTTGTAACAGCATAAAGGGGCAACACGTTTTTCTCTGTTCTTTTCCAAAAGAGTTCGAAGAAAAAATCTTCTGTCCCCAGCAGGCCGTACAACCGACCACACAACAAGAATGGACTCTTTGATTTAGTAAAACCTCTCTCCAAACGTCAAAAACTAGCTAATTCTCTTGTATCGATGGTAACTTTATATGCTGTTTTGCCACCCAGTCATGTGACCAGTGCAGAAAAACTATAAACAACAACGTCACTCCAAGATCTTCCTGTACAGTGGGGCAAAAAAGTTCTCCCACTTAAAAACATGAGGGAGGCCTGTCATTTTTATCATAGGTAAACCTCATTTATGAGAGACCACCACTAAACATTCACGCAGACTCATTCTAAGGAAATGTGGGCGGAGTGACTTGCTTGACACAATGACAGTTTGGCACTTTACAGCCGCAGCCGCCCCACTGTGGCACCCGGTGTTCCCAGAGGTCTCCCATCACAGTACTAACCAGGCCCTGCCCTGTTAAGCTGAGGTCTGATGGGATTTGGTGAAAATGGGTACTGTCAGAACAACGGCACCTCATCAACGACTCCTCTCTTCTTTTCAGTGTTCTCTCGTTTCCCTCTTTCTGGAACATTTCGGGTTTTTCGGGACCATAATATCTGAATAGACAAGAGTTTTGTCAACAACAAATCTATAACCAACACCTTTTTCACAAAGATAGAAATCCTGGTTATACTCCTTTTTTTGTTGTTAATGATTTGAGAATCATAACGAGACCTTTTTTTAGTTCTGCGGCCACATGTTACTTTATCAGTGAGATTAGCTTCTGGCAACCCGGTGGAGGGTGGGCCATCGAAATGAAAACAATAACAAGATTTAGGGGCTGTAAAACTTATTTTGACATTCAAATATCTCTGAACTACTGTTATCAGCTAAAGAAGTATTGGAAAAGAGAATGGTTTATTACTGTAAAGCCTTTTGACAGATTAGGGCCATTTAAAGATGACTTGACATGAGAGTTCTCTGTAACCCTCTTCCCATTAAAGTCCTCAAAGACAACTGGTCGTCATCGTCTGCCAAAAACATTTATCCATAAAGTTGAGTGGGTTCGTCTCTCCTGAGCCATGTCCAAGGGTCACATGAGGCCCGTGTGCTTTGGACCCTGTTGTCTGTTTGTGGGAGGCCGGGAAGCACTCAATTTTTATCGATCCAAAGATGTTACGCCAAAGAAATCAAGCGTTCGGGGTGATCTGGGAAACACTGGCAAAAACTACAAATGGTTCCTATGGTGTGGCGACCGACCGTAAGGCGATATTTCAATCAGTTTTTGGTCCATCCCCACGGAACATTCCGGGTCGCTCAGGCTGAAATGTTAAAATCATCGTCCAAAAGGAGTTGGGAAAGATTAGGGATGAGTTTCAGCGACGCCGGAGCTGCAGGGTTTGTTAGAGTCGATATTAGTGAAAGAGCAGGATTGATCTAAGACAGCCATTCCCAAACTCAGTAACACCGAGGCCCCCTTAAAAATCTGACGGGTCTGCGTGGCCCCCCAAAATAATAACCAAGAAGACAACATTAAGAATAGGCTCTTCTGGTTATTTTATTTTGGGGAAATAGCCTCTGCTACAAACATTGTAATACAAAAATGATTACAGTGGATTATTCAAGTCAAATAATGAACACAAATATTTTAATATTACAAACAAAACATTATAAATTTAACATTAAATAATTATATATATATATATATTTTTTTTTATGACCTCCCGCGGCCCCCCTGCAGTACCCTCGCGGCCCACCAGGGGGCCGCGGACCCCACTTTGGGAGACACTGATCTAAGACATGCTCTGATAGAGGAGGAGGTGAAGGAGAGAGGAGAAGGAGAGAGGAGGAGGTGAAGGAGAGAGGAGAAGGAGAGAGGAGGCGGTGAAGGAGAGAGGAGAAGGAGAGAGGAGGCGGTGAAGGAGAGAGGAGAAGGAGAGAGGAGGCGGTGAAGGAGAGAGGAGAAGGAGAGAGGAGGCGGTGAAGGAGAGAGGAGAAGGAGAGAGGAGGAGGTGAAGGAGAGAAGAGAAGGAGAGAGGAGGAGGTGAAGGAGAGAGGAGAAGGAGAGAGGAGGAGGTGAAGGAGAGAGGAGAAGGAGAGAGGAGGCGGTGAAGGAGAGAGGAGAAGGAAAGAGGAGGCAGTGAAGGAGAGAGGAGAAGGAGAGAGGAGGAGGTGAAGGAGAGAGGAGAAGGAGAGAGGAGGAGGTGAAGGAGAGAGGAGAAGGAGAGAGGAGGAGGTGAAGGAGAGAGAAGGAGAGAGGAGGAGGTGAAGGAGAGAGGAGAAGGAGAGAGGAGGAGGTGAAGGAGAGAGGAGAAGGAGAGAGGAGGCGGTGAAGGAGAGAGGAGAAGGAGAGAGGAGGAGGTGAAGGAGAGAGAAGGAGAAAGGAGGAGGTGAAGGAGAGAGGAGAAGGAGAGAGGAGGAGGAGAAGGAGAGAGGAGAAGGAGAGAGGAGAGAGGAGAAGGAGAGAGGAGAAGGAGAGAGGAGAAGGAGAGAGGAGAAGGAGAGAGGAGGAGGTGAAGGAGAGAGAAGGAGAGAGGAGGAGGTGAAGGAGAGAGGAGGAGGTGAAGGAGAGAGGAGGCGGTGAAGGAGTGAGAAAGAGGAGAAAAAAGAGCAGATAGGAGGAACAGAGCAGAGTGAGGAGAAGGAGAGAGTAGGGGGGAGGAGAAGGAGTGAAGAGAAGGAGAGAGGAGGAGAGAGGAGGCAGTGAAGAAGAGAGGAGGTGAAGGAGTGAGAAAGAGGAGAAAAAAGAGCAGAGAAGAGGAAAAGAGAAGAGTGAGGAGAAGGAGGTGAAGGAGAGAGGAGGAGGTGAAGGAGTGAGAAAGAGGAGAAAAAAGAGCCGATAGGAGGAACAGAGAAGAGTTAGGAGAAGGAGGTGAAGGAGAGAGGAGGAGGTGAAGGAGAGAGAAGGAGAGAGGAGGAGGTGAAGGAGAGAGGAGGAGGTGAAGGAGAGAGGAGGCGGTGAAGGAGTGAAAAAGAGGAGAAAAAAGAGCAGATAGGAGGAACAGAGCAGAGTGAGGAGAAGGAGAGAGTAGGGGTGGAGGAGAAGGAGTGAGGAGAAGGAGAGAGGAGGGGTGAAGGAGAGAGGAGAAGGAGATAGGAGGAGGAGAAGGAGAAAGTAGGAAGATAAAGAGAGAGGAGGAGGACAGAAAAGAGAGGAAGAGGAGTGAGGAGAATGAGATATGGAGATAAAGGGAATGAGAGGGGGAGAGAGAGGAGAAGGAGAGAGGAGGAGGAAGAGAAGGAGAGAGGATAAAGAGTGAGGAGTAGCAGATAGGAAAAGGAAATAGGAGATGGGAAAGAAAGAGAAGGAGTGAGGAGAAGGAGAGAGAAGATGGAGGGAGGAGAATGAGCGAGGAGGAGGAGAGAAGAGATGAAGAGGAGTGAGGAGAAGGAGAGAGGATGAGGAGAAAGAGAGGAAGAGGAGAGAAGAGAGAGGAAGAGGAGTGATGAGAAGGATAGAAGAGAGAGGAGGAGTTAAGACAGAGGAAAAGGAGTGATGAGATGGAGAGAAGAGAGCGGATGAGGAGAAAGAGAGAGGAAGAGGAGTGAGGAGAAGGAGAGAGGATGAGGACAAAGAGAGAGGAAGAGGAGAGAAGAGAGAGGAAGAGGAGTGAGGAGAAGGAGAGAAGAGAGAGGATGAGGAGAAAGAGGAAGAGGAGAGAAGAGAGAGGAAGAGGAGTGAGGGGAAGGAGAGAGGAGGAGAAGGAGAGAAGAAGAGGAAAGATCTTAGTAATAATTTCTCCTCTTCCTAATAGATGTTCTTAAATGTCCTGGATCCAGGACTACAGGACTGAGGCTGTAGATCCAGGACTGAGGCTGTAGATCCAGGACTGAGGCTGTAGATCCAGGACTGAGGCTGTAGATCCAGGACTGAGGCTGTAGATCCAGGACGGAGGCTGCAGATCCAGGACTGAGGCTGTAGATCTAGGACTGAGGCTGTGGATCCAGGACTGAGGCTGTAGATCCAGGACTGAGGCTGTAGATCCAGGACTGAGGCTGTAGATCCAGGACGGAGGCTGCAGATCCAGGACTGAGGCTGCAGATCCAGGACTGAGGCTGTAGATCCAGGACTGAGGCTGTGGAACCAGGACTGAGGCTGTAGATCCAGGACTGAGGCTGTAGATCCAGGACTGAGGCTGTAGATCCAGGACTACAGGACTGAGGCTGCAGATCCAGGACTGAGGCTGTAGATCCAGGCTGGCCCGGACTGGCCATCGGGAGCATCGGGAGATCTCCCGGTGGCCTGCGTGTCAAGTGGCCTGGGCCTGCCCTATCATCACGGTCTTTTTTATTTATTTTTTATTTTTTATTTTAATTTAATTTCATCCTCACGGTCTTTGCAAACTCCTACCCTGCCTGGTGGCCTGGTCCAATGAGCAAGGCCCAGGCCAAAGCCAGTGTTGTGCGTGAACGAGTTCAAAAGAACGCGTTCATTGAACACGCTCATTTTTTCGTGAACGTTGAACTGAACGCAACACATTTTTTAATAAAGAACTTGAACGTGAATTAGTTCATATTATGTGTGTCATGAACGGCAGACAATTTGTTTTCCATTTAAAACTGAGTGAAATCTGTTTTCTCTTTTGAAACGCAACGAGAGAAAGTTCCTCCCTCCTGTATTCTCCGCACTGTTTCCGCCGAAAACTAAAAATTCCTACGGTTTCCACCGTCTGTGAACGCACCCCGACTCAGTGTACTTGGGGTGCGGCGCTATATGCTGGTGCTATTCATTGGTTGTTGGACTCACATGTGCCGTGATGAAAACACAGGGGTAAGTCAGTGACACAGGGCCGTTTACATTTGACATAAAGTATAGACACACGTTCTGCAGCGCATTACAGTTTGTACTTATGAGCAGAGATGGGACAACTCAGTTCCCATTGAAACCCATGTAAATCTTGTCTGCATTGGAGTCAAAACATCCTGTGCAGTGTACAGGATATATATATATATATATATATATATATATATATATATATATATATATATATATATATATATATATATATATATATATACCACGTATTGTGATTTCTAGCTCGTAGTGAAAAAAAAATATTTATTTGAATATCTCGCAAAAAGTAAAATGAAATGAACTTTGAACTAGTTCAGAATTAAAATTGAGAACTTCGAACGTGAACTGTTCACTTTGAGCATGTATGAACTGAACTTGAACTAGTTCAGAAAAGCTGTGAACTGGCACAACACTGGCCAAAGCTTTACTGTCATTGGGCCAGAGCAAAATTAAACAAATGTGACGTCACACGTCGGCTACACAGCCAGGCCAGCCTAGCAGTGCACCCAGTGTAGCTTCCCCAGCCTAGCAGTGCACCCAGTGTAGCTTCCCCGGTTGAAATGAGTGGTCTCTCCAACTGATGGTTCATACACGTTTTTATTTTTCCTTTTATATGAGCTGTAACGATGTGATTTTACCTTACTACTTTTTTAACAATAATTGATTAGCTATAGCTATACACTAATGAACACTTAGTTCATTGTGTGTGTGTGTGTCTTTATTCTCACTAAACTCCATAAACGTTAGGTTGCTAAGCAACGTACAACAATCCTTAAACATCCGAGATTATATAAACAGTCAATATAAAAAAAAAAAAGAAAACAAAAGTTTTGACAGTCAATCTTAAAACTATTAAAAGAACATCAAAATACAATGACAAAAACACAAATTTAGAACCTTGTTTGGCCTGAATGGATGAAAAGCTCCCGGCCTGAAATGTTGTCCCACTCCGGCCCTGGATCCAGGACTGTCTTTGAATCAAATCTTCAGTATCATCCAGGGCTGGACTGGCCATCGGGCGTACCGGGCAATGCCCGAAGGGCCGATGCCCATATTTGGGCCGGTCTGTCTGCCTCATACAAAAAAGATGTTTGTGAAAAGTGTAAATCCGTTGAGAACTGTTCGAGGGGAGAGCGCGTGTCCGCGGGGCACCTGCTGTATGTACTCGAACGGGATTCCACCACCTCAGCGGCCGCAGTGTTCCCGCATCCAGCGGCTCTGAGCTGGACGCAGGAACCGCTCACCGGGAGCCGCTCACAACACAACACGGTGAGCGCGTAGCCGCAACGTGACCATGTACCCAAGACCATAAACGTGCACAGGACCATGCGTGTCTTTTCGTAATTTGTGCACCAAGGTTGCCGTCCAGAAATGTACAAAGCGCCTCTCGCTGTTCATCTTTCAAAAAAGAAATTGGAGATTCTGCTAAAACTGACTTTGCGTCCGTCCTCCTGCGTAGCCATGTTTGTTTTGCTTCGGCCCGGCACTTCTTGCTTTCGTCAAACCCGGATATCCCGCCCTAAACCCCCAGACTGGCGCGTGATTGGCTCGCACACCCAGTGGTTCGACTCAAAAAGTGTAAGCGGGAGCGGTACAAGATGTATTCTCGAGTGTTTGTGAACTCACAAATACCGCGAGAATTCAGCTTGCAGGCAAGGTTACAATAAATGCACCGCTGCAGAAAACAGTCCACGTCTCCCCTCTCCTCTAAATTAAAGCTCCGGTACCTAAATTTTCCATTGCGTTAATGTTTGAGCCCAAAAGTAATATGTTGTGAACAGATTAAACAGATTTAGAGCCAGCTAATGGCTGACAATATGCATTTCAGAAATGTTTACCAATTCTCATCCCTGTAACAAACAATAGTATTGTCTGTGCCCACCTCCCTCACTCTGAGACATGGTTATTACTCTGTTTAATGTAAACTATTGCTCTTTATTTTATTGTTGAAACTGCAGACATCCTGATCCTCTACAGTATTTGCTTCCACATACTGTATAAACCAGGGGTCGGCAACCTTTAGTGCCCCTAAAGTGGCTCCTGGAGCCTTTTCAAAAATGTCTGATAGTGGAGTGTGAGGGCTATATTTTATTTCTAGTTTGAATGTGGTTTCTGTAGGAGGAAAAACATTCTTAACGTTTTTCAATGCTGCAAAAACTTGTATAAGTAATATTCAATTTTAGCATTTCTGTCAACGTAGTGCGTTATATCCTGTGACGCAGCCCGTGCCAGGCTGCAATGAAAACACACGTTTGATAATCATGAATGGTTATTATGTGTCTGTAGCCTTTACTTTGACATTTAGATAATAGGCTAATATAGCTAATGTAGCTAAGGTAGCTAAGGTTGCTAATGTAGCTAATACAGCTTCAGCCCCTGTTACCTTCATATAAGCCTTATACAACGCTGTTTTTAGTTTTTTGTCAAATATGGCTCCTTGAACCTTTTGAGTTGCCTGGGCCGCTAAATAGGAAAAAATGCCCGGGCCGTTTTTTTTGTCCCAGTCCAGCCCTGGTATCATCTCACAGACGTTTTTAAACATGTGTGGTTGTCTTCATTGAAACACAAACTGCATCATCACATTCTCCCAGATTTCATCACTAAATGTCTGTGTGTGGACTTTTTATGCAGACCTTTACCTATTTTTACTCGTACAACCTGTTTGCACCTTGAGTCAAAGCGAATTCCTAGTATAAGATAAGATAAAGCAATCTTATCTTATCTTATCTTATTGCCTGCTCCAGTACAGCACATGATTTACGAGACTGCACTGCCCTCTGGAGGCCAAGTATGGAAGTGCCCACTGCGTCACAATAAACTCTGTGAAGATACAATGTCTTCACTCTTTCTAATGCAGATTACTTATGGTTTTGAAGCCTTGTGTGATTTTAATGTTTACTTTAGATAGGTGCATTTCCTGTAGGGGTTAGAGCCAGAATAAATACACGAAATGTATGTGGATAGGAGAAGCTTTTGTGATTTTTTTAATGTGTGCTTTTTTGGTAGAATTGCATCTGTTTTAAATATAAATCATATGTTTACACCACTCAAAAGAAAGTTCTACAACGGATTATGTCACAGGACGGGGATTCCGTATGGAGCTGTGAAGTGCCCACCTCGTGTTTCAGAAGTAAAATACACTTTAACCCTGTTTTTACGAGCTCTACTCTAATCTACTCTACACTACTCTACACTACCCTACATAGCTCTTTTCTACTTCTACTTTCTACTACTGCAGGTTTTGCTAAAAGTCCCTAAATACGCAATTACTTCAAATAAAACGTAATAAATAACAGGGTTTTCGATCAGTAAGAAAATTAAAAGGTTAGGTTCTACCGAGATTTGAACTCGGATCGCTGGATTCAGAGTCCAGAGTGCTAACCATTACACCATAGAACCAGTTAGCTTTGCCACGATGAAAAAGGGTAATTAAACAGAATTCACACGACGAACGACTATTGATTATTTGTGTTTGGTACATTTTCATTTAGGTAAAGTATGAATCGCGTTGGTTGAAATTTGAAATCATTACGTACTCGCATGCAACACTGTTAATGTATATAATACGTACATACATTAATGGTTGCTTCATAATAATTCAGTAACCAGCAGGCTTCTTAAATTATCTATTTACAAAAGGTGAAAAACCAAGCATGCAACAGCATTTACTAAATAATCGACACATTTCTTCGCCGGACCGCGCGAGGTTGCAGCGGTTCTTTCTTTGCCACTAGATGGCGTTCCTGCCGTGGCTTTGGGGACATACTACCCCCAGCCCTGTAGGGAAGCGTTCATGCACGTTGTTTTGCTTCACCTCTGGCTCCTATTGATTTACATCGAACAGCAAATGTATTGTCTTTGTAATCTTTAATCAGATGCCTTCTTTTGTGTGCAACACGTCTGCCGCTATCCACTCACCCAATATTGAGTGTACAGTACTCTTACTTCTCAGCAAGAAGGTTCCGGGTTCGAATCCTGGTCAGAACAGGGCCTTTTTGAGTGGAGTCTGCGTAGGTTTCCTCCAGGTGCTCCAGTTTTCCCTACTATTTTGAATAAATGCGTTTTCCAATTATAACTCAGGATTGCATGTATGAACAAAGTGTCTTATGTAAGACACAGTGTGTAGTGAGCAGGAGAAAGTGTGTTGCAGAAAGAGAAAGTGTGTTGCAGAAAGAGAAAGTGTGTTGCAAAAGAAGAAAGTGTGTTGTAGAAATGAGAGCAAAGTGCAAAGCAGTACTTTTGTTTAAGGAATGGTTAGTCTGTGTTTTAGGTTCAGTACAAAAGCTTCAGGTTCTGTAACTTTGGTCTAAACGTGTGTCTATAGTGTTCAAGCAATAGGAAAAAATAAAGATTACTTACTTACTTTAGCATGAGCGAAGCGTAATTGTCTATCTGAGGACCTCTTAGAATCTCCAGTTGTCACAAACTCTCACGATAACGAAAGGATGACATTAGAATAAAACAATATATCAAGAAGGAATAACATACCACTTTCACTAGGGCTGTGGTCACAAACACAACCTAAAGCCCAGTTAAAGTAAGCCTAGTACCACAAAGCAGTTAGATTTATGTGCCATGTGGCCGCGGCATCTGGGCCAGCCCGGCACGTTTGTAAGGGAAAACACAAATATTACTACTGTTATATACAGTACATTCCAATTCTAAATCAAGAAAATGTAAAACCAAAATAAACTTTCATAACAACACTTGCAAGTATAATTCAGGCTTGATTTCATTTTTCTATTGAGAAATTTTTTGATCTAAAATGTTTCCTCTTTCCTGAGTTTGGAACTTGCTCAGGTTTCTTCTCGACAGATGCAGTAAACAGAGAGCTTGAATCAAACTGATACAAATGTGTTTTCTGTCATGGTTTTCACCACACCGAAGACAATGTGACGGTTTGAGCAGAAAGATGGCAACACAGAGAAAAATAATGACATTATCTTGAAATATGATCTGTTCTGTTTCGGGCCCGAGGCTTTCAGTCTCCTCTGTGTGAGAGACACATTTCTCACCTCTTTAAAGTACTGGCTGAACTATGTCATTCCTTCAGATATTTGCGTTTTCTGGTTTTTACATAAAGATCTTCTTGTAGTGCATTAAAATACCAGAACTTTATAATTATTCATTACTATTATTTATTCAGTATTATATATAACATCACACAAACATTAGTCCAGGTGTTAGTATTAGATAGCACTATGGCCTACGTGCAGGACTGTACAAGGACTCTACAAGGACTCCATGTTATGACTATGATTTGACTGTCTCTTTGTGACACGTATGTCTTTCGATGTGTGACGTGACAATGACTATATAAACTGTGTACTGCCTTTATTCTGTCTGAGAGAAAGAAACAAAGTAAACCAGTGGAACTTGAGAGAAACTTAAATAAACTTCCAGAGTTTGGCACACCACGATCCGTCTCTGTCTGCTTCATCCTGACAGATTTGGTGGAGAATGCGCGGCTCAGTGTGTGCCATTCTCTGGATTGTTTTGAGGGAGTTTTCTTTGTTTCTTTTTTCTCGGCGTGGGAGAGCTGAGAGTATCAGGGGCCTGGGAGCAGCCCAGCAGGCTGGAGAGGCGACCGGCTCCGGGACTCTTTTTCGCTCTCTCACTATATTTTTTTTGTGTCCTCTTTTTTGGACTGAGCATTTAAAATAGTTTTCCCATGTCCACATTCCGGGGATTTTTGACGTGCGATTGGTCTCTGCCGATGGAAACTAGTTCCCGGTACTAGTGAGCGCTGGTTCATGATCTGGAGACCTGGTTGGACGTGGAAAAGCTGATATTTGGTGGACTTCTGACGGTGCCTGGCGCCCTGTTCAACAAAAGGTAAGAGCGGACACCTGTTTATTCAAAGTCTGCTAATTGAGTGAACTAAATTATGGTCTGTTTTGAGGTCTGCCAAATGTCATGTATCTATAGATCAGATTAGATTAAAAACAGGTTCGCTACCTGACGGGTTAGAGTCCCTTTCAGAAGAAGTCTCGGGGTTAGAGTCCCTTTGAGAAGAAGTCTCGGGGTTAGAGTCCCTTTGAGAAGAAGTCTCGGGGTTAGAGTCCCTTTGAGAAGAAGTCTCGGGGTTAGAGTCCCTTTGAGAAGAAGTCTCGGGGTTAGAGTCCCTTTGAGAAAAAGTCTCGGGGTTAGAGTCCCTTTGAGAAGAAGCTTCAGGGTTAGAGTCCCTTTGAGAAAACGTTTTCGGGGTTAGAGTCCCTTTGAGAAAAGATAGAGAAGGATCCTTAGTGAAACCATGGTGTAAAATTAAAAGCAATTTTTAAAAAGGGAAACGTGTTAAGGAGGCCTTTTGTCACAAAAAGTTTTGTAATTAACCAATTCCAAGCTTGATAAATGACAAAAGTAAAGAAGCAACAATATTTCAGTGATCACGGTTTAAATTACATACAGAAAAAGGGAGTTTTTGTTTTTGGAGTGAACAGAGTTCACCGGAGAATGCAGAGTTTTATCTAAAGTTGAGCTATGAGAGCTTTCGTGAGTTATTTACATTTTTTGCCGAGTTTTATCTACAGTTAAGCTATGAGAGGGTTGTATCCAACAGTTGTTTTTGTTTTTTAGAAAGAGATTTTGAGTTTAAACTAGTTTGCTACCTCGATAGAATAGAAGCATAAGGGAAATTAAAGAGTAAAGAGTGCCTTTTGTTACAAGTGTGGAAAGTGATCACTTCTAGACTTGGATGACAAAAGTATAAACTACAAGTTATATTCGCTTAACAAAGTAATCTTGAAAGTTATTCTTCTTTCTGTTTTTGCATTTTTGCTAAAACACTACTTTCTGCCTTTGTGTGTGCACATCTCTATCTTGCTGCCGTTGTCAGGGGAAACGGCCCCCTCCTTTGCTGCTCTGGCTCTGAATCAGAGCAAAGCTACTGCTTTAGGATTTTTGGCTTTTCATAGTTGTTATTCCGTTAAATTTGCGAAATTTGCAATTGAACATTGTGTTATGACACAGTTAAACGTTTTTAAACACCATTAGTGAATAAGTTTTGAATTAGTATGTTTTTGAAACCCAAAGATTAGTACAAAAAGCTTTGCTTTTCTTTTTAAATCTGCTGCTTATTTCTTAACTTTTTGTGAGTTGTGTTTGTTTTTATGTTTTTTATTTTAGTTACAAAAGCCGTTTTTCAAACATTTAAATTAGAATCTGTGTTAAAAGTGATTATTGATTATAGACTTTGTCTAAAAAGAAAGAGGGAATTAGGATTAGCTGTAAAAGTATTATATTGAGTTCTACCCAATTCACATTCAAGCGCTGACTTATTTGTTTTGACTACACGCCTGACCTTGTTCCTGCTGCTGATGCACACAGCAGAGGAGACTGGCTCTAAAATGTGCTCCAATTCATATTGACTTAATTTGAAAAATGCTGCAATTATTTTAAATTAGTAGAATATATGCTGAGATAAATGTTCAAGATAATTAAACACACAGTACAAAAGCACATAATACATGTTTTAAAGTTTAAAGGTTTTTTGAGATTTTAGTCTTGTTTTTTATATTAAGAGTTTCTGGTTTTAAAAATGTCATCATTAGTAAGATAATAAGTAATCTATATTTACATAGCGCATGTGGAAAAACCCAGAGCGCTCCAAAATCGTTTAGACTTTAGAGAGAAAAACAATCTCATTCACAAACTGATATCTGCTGTTTTTAATTTGACTATAAGGTTGTGTTGCAGGACCAAGGGCACACACTGTACAGGGTCACTGGACTGCTGGAGTGGACACTGGACAGCAAAGCCCACCCAGCCACAGGTCACAGATCAAAGAGCAAAAGGAAATGCCACCTCCTTGCCCCTCCCCACGCCACTCCAGAGCTGAGTGGGTGTGAGAGAGACCGGGGCCATGAAAGTGGAGGTTTCTGGAGGCAGTGATGGGTGGAGGCCTCAAGTAGAGACCTAGAGGCAGTTGAAAGTGTGTCCACGTGGTTACATCACCACAGTGTGACCTTTGAGACCTACAGGTGGTTCGAGGAGTCTGGAGACACAACCCCAAAATTCACACCCTACATACATACATACATACACACACATGCATTCACACATACATTCATACACACACACATTCACATTTACACATAGATACATGAAAAAGCAGAACATGAGAAAAAGCATTTTAAAAGTTTACTCCAATGTAAACACATTTTTAATTGTCTATCACTTGAATCTTTAGTTGAATCAGTATTTTTTGAGACCAGAAATGTTCATTTGAATTCTATATTGTCATAGACATAATTGACCTCTGTCCTGACACTTTTGATTTGTTGATTTTGTACTGTGTGAAGTAATTACATTGATTAGAATTAGATTTGATAAAAACACAAATTAGAGAAGTAAACTGAATCATTGCGCTTGCTTTTGTCTGAGAGACATTAGCAACAGCATGAATAGAAATTGTCTTTAAAGTAGAATCAAAGTGACTTAACCATAGAAAGTAACAGTAGATATATATGACGGCGGTAGAGAGCAAGTGGTGAAAAGGTGGTACTGCACCCTAAAATCCCCAGAAAGGGGACGGCGCTCTTGA